TTTCAGATTTCTCTGATAAGGCCTGTGGCATGTTCCTTTGGTTCCTGGCCAACTTTCGGTACCTAGTAACAACGTATACACAAAACAAACAAAGGGCCCTTAAGTTCTATACGAAGCTCAACACAAAGAGCACGTTGCAGTTGATTTGTGATCACCGACACAACTGACATATTTGATTTATTTTAATCAGTCAATCAATAAAAATGGTTGTTTCTCAATAGAACATTTGTTTCTTTTCTCCTTGTATCTGTTGAAACTCACCTTCAGAATGAGCTTGTCTGGTTTGTTTTTGTGGGCGGCGAAATACTTTTCAGACTGGTTAAACTGCAGAACAACGTAGGTGCCGTTTACATCCGATGTGCATTTGTAGGTGTACACAAGTACAACCACTGGAAGGAGACGTGGAATACAACAACAAAGTTAGCTCAATAGTTACTACTACATATTGTCAGCATATATTGTTTAAGATGTACAAAATAAGCATTTCTATGCTCTATGATTGGAAAGTGGAAAAGTGCACAGTCATAAAACAGTACGATTCTCTAGCGCCAATATCTGCTTGGAGATAATTAGTCGGGAAAATGGGCTACGTTACTCTCCAAGCAGAGGTCGTGGGGGAATGATCGTTACTTTTTTATATATGGCTGTATGTTTGTTTGTTTGTTTGTTTGTTTGTTTTGTTTTTTTGTCGCTACTCCCACCAACGGTGGCATGGCCAGCCACCTTCTCTGGCTAATGGATACTGCCTGGCCAATTTGATACTGTCTTTTTGCCACCGAAAGGGATCTGCTTGGATATTCGGCTACGCCCATATTGCAAAAGAATTTGAAAGTTGATAGCCTGTGTCTTACCTTTGTGTTTGTTTCCCGGCGTGAGCCTGTCAGTCCGGACCACCTTTCCTGTGCCCTGTCCGTTCTGCCCTGATTTCTCAATGAGGAGGCCCTCGTACTCCGGGAAGGGGTTTCGCATCACTCGCGTGTATACCTTGTCGAACCGAATCGTCTGAAAAGGGGTGTTAAATTGTCAGGACTCAATCGACATGTTACTAGTATACAGACGCCATGGCCTTGTGTGTTTCAAGGGGTGAAGATGGTAGATGAGTTGCAGAATTTTGACTACATGAAAAAAAGACGTTTCAAATAATGCAACAAAGCAAAATCCAGACTTTTGGTGATGGAAAAATTGAGGTCTCAAAACTTGCCACACACACACACACACGCACAGACGCACGCACACACACATACACAGACGCGCACGCACACACACACACACACACACACACACACACACACACACACACACACACACACACACACACACACACACACCGCACACACACACACACACACACACGCACAGACGCACGCACGCACACATACACAGACGCGCACGCACACACACACACACACACACACACACACACACACACACACACACACACACCGACACACACACACACACGTGCACACACACACACACACACACATACACAGACGCGCACGCACACACACACACACACACACACGTGCACACACAAACACACACGCACAGACGCACGCACACACACACACACACACACACACACACGTGCACACACACGCACGCACGCACGCACACACACACACACACACACACACACGCATGGTACTCAAACTCGCCACTTACTTGTGATGTTGACTCTCCGTGTTCCTCTGACCCTGTGTTCACGCCGTTAGGATGTTTGTTCCCCATGTTACAAGCCTCTGCTTCACACTTATTCTTACTCGTAAGCTAATAGCAGACGATAGCACCGAAATGTGGGACCAAGACGCTTTATATACACCAAGACGCGACAGGAAGTCTTAAAATAGCAACGGGGAATGACATCACTCAAGGAAGAGATGTAGAAAATGAAGAAAGAAATCTTGCCCAAGGTTCTCGGAAGCGGTACCCTCCACCCGCGGGTCACTTCCTGGCTGTTTCTGTTGGCGTCACTAAGAAACACTCCCACGCTGCTACTTATCATTCGGCCAGCGTATCGTATAATCTCAATTGTACCCATACATCTTTCAAAAGAGAACAATGTGCCAGGGCGGCTTTGCTGACATTTGTCACCCCTACGTGCCTCGGCAGTATCCAGTTACGTTGTGCCATTTGGAAACAATCCAAAAACCTACACATATTTGATACTCTTTTCTTCTACTACACTCCTCCTCAGGCGAATTGTTAAATGTGAAAAGCCTCCACCAGGCCTTTCTACGGGAATACGGATTGTAGAATGCGCCAAAAAAGAGAGTAAAATTGGCCAAGGGAGTCCGGCCGCGGGGAGGTAGTTTCTTTCCCTCCGACTGCGCGGCCAGTCAAACCTACAAGGCGGCCAAACTCCCCTGGCAATTATTCTCTGAGTGAGCCAGCGTAGTTAATAGTCTGGTAGAGACTAGAATGTGAAAGTCAGAATAGAGTACTAGTACTAAACGTTGCTAAAGCAGGTATAAAATGCTGAGAATGACCTTGAGAATGACCTTGAGGCAAGGTCGTTGCGACGTCACCCACAACCAACCCTTTTAGGGTGTGGCTAGCAACGTCGTAGTAACACAAGGACTTGGGTATCACGATGACAACGTCTTTATCAATTACGTTCGATGAATCCCTCTTTTGTGCACCCGCCCACTGCCGAGCCAGTTTGCATGTTTGTGATGGGGAGGGGCGGAAGTCTGCATTTGGCCTTCCTTACAAGTTACATGACCGCGAAACCCACCGGAAGTTTAGCCTAGGTAACTAGCGCCGTGAGCTCAGCGCTATCCCTTTGGCGCCGAGAGCGTTTCGGGCCGCCAAACCAGGCCCCAATGTGACAGCGCTTGGTTTCTTCGCTCACAAGTTTAGGTCGGCAACAGAGGTTTGAGCGTAATACAGCAAGTCAGCGGATACAGGAAAACCAGCTGGAGATAGGTCCTTGGCATAACTCGCCTGTGCTTGGTAAAGGCCGGGGCCAAAAAATTACTGTCAAGCCGACCAAAGGTTTGGTACCCAGGCTACCGGAAGTTAGTCATGACATGCAGCTTCCACTAGATAGATTTTTCTATAAATGGCACTTTCGAGGGGGTGGGTGTGTCCAACTGTTTCACAATTAGTTTCACTCACAGTGAAGCGCAGCCAAGCGCGATTGTACTGTCTATGTTTGTTAAATTCAGCCTGCAAGGTCAAATAGGGTCAAATTTGAATGATATTCTCTCTATCATATTAATAATAAAGCAAGAATTTCATGAAGTCTATCTAGGATAGGTTTGTGCATAGCGAAAGAGAGTTGTATTGCTTGATTATTTCAAATTAACTCACGAAAATTGGTATGGTCTTAAGAGAGCGACGATATTTAGTTGTGATGCTGCACTTCCTGCAGCACTTGGCATTTGTCAGACTGATCGCCAGCGCCCTCTTGCGACACATCCACTATCTGCAACCACCGCGATTCCAAAGTGATGCGAGCGTGCGAATGAAAAAAAGTTTGCCCATAAAAGTTGCTTTCATTATATGAAACCTACGTGGTTTTGTTGAAACAATGTTTTTTATAAACATTAGATTAAATGTTTCTATTAGAATCATGACAGTGGCTATGGTGTCTTCCAAGTATCCCCCATCACAGTACATAGTAGTATGGTATCTTCTTAAATTTATAAATGAGGATGCAACAGAAGCACTGATTCAACAGTTTTAAGACAGATCTTTTTATTTCATCTCTCTCTCTATCTTTCATTCCATCTAGTATCTTTGTCCAGTCTCAATTTCCTTGCGTATGAAAACAAGAAAATGATTTTGATCTGTTGTCGTTTGTAGCACTGTAGCACTTTGTAGTTTTGTCTCAAAGCTGACAATTCGTTTTGGTCTTGTTTTGAGCCCCTTCATTTCTTCTTCTCTTTCTCTCTCCCCATCTATCAGTATCACTGTCCAGTTCTTTCCTTTTGATGCTGTTCTTTACTCGTGTCTTGAGTCCTTGTCTTGTCTTCCTGCTGTTTTGTTGTGTCCTCAGCTACAGCAGTTGGTATATTCTGTAGTTCCTCTCTCTTGTGCCTCTCAAGCAGTGGTTTGTAGATGTACAGACCAGTCAGCCAGCCCAGTCCCAACACTGCTGCTATCTCAAGTTTACCCAGACGCATTTTAATCACTCTCCCTCTTTGTTTTATTTCAGAAAAAAAATTCAGTCTTGGTACAACTTAAAATTCCAGGCCACCGTATGGTTATTGTACTAAGTTTCTGTTGTCTTCTGTGTAATAGGAGTGCTGAAAAAAAAGAGGGAAATGTGATGATAATATTAATCCTATACACATGTTATTCTAGATCAGATCCTTGATCAATTGAACATCAACAATTGTAATATTGTTGTAATAATTCATGTAACAATTGATGTTTAAAATTGTTGTTAAGATAAGTTTTCCTGAAGCATAATGTCAATGATAGCAGTTTACAGTAAATGTAAATAGTTGTATTTTGATGTTGTATAGGACTCCAGGAAGAATAGTGATGTACATATTATTCACTAATGGGAGATTCCTAAATAAACAAACAAACAAACAAACAAACAAACCCATCCATAATTTTCAGAACTTTTACTTTGCATTTTAGAGGTCACTCAGGTGAAGATCATCATACAGTGAACAGTTCATAAGTAATTTTTACTAGTATTTCGGATTCTTAACGTATCTACTTGTACAAACTGTAAGGAAGAAGTTAAACCACAACGCAAAACTAGCATCGATAGTAAACTTGCCCAGAAAACATCGATATAATTTTTATACCCCCCACCCCCACCCCCTTAGCCAAATTATAAACAAATGCACGTAACGTAACGTAAGGTTGCCATTTCATACTTAATGTCACTTATTTCATCAACAAGATATAAGCATTTTTTAAGAGAATACCTTACCGGCATAATAGTCGGTCCGTTTTAACCAAAAACTGAAGAATTTGGAGCGAAAGTCGACGGAAAAAAGCACAAGCAAGGACAGCCTGACCTCCAGGTACAAAGGTTAAAGGTCAGCGTTTCCATTGCCTAATTTTAACAGTTCTATTTTTTAATATCTTATGTACAGATATTTTTAAGACATCTAATTCTATTACCACAAATTTATATGCAAAGGCGAATTTCTTGATACAACTATTTTTAAGAGTGCAGCGAAGGGAAAAATTCTACAGTTTGTCGGACATAAACACCCCTACCGTTTGAATGGCATAGCCTGATTTCAAGATGGCAGCGAGACGGGTGAATTTTTTTGGCGTTGACTGCATTTTGACGATTTAAGTGGTCATTTCTTTGCAAATTGTACTAGAAGTGAATTTCATGTGATCTCCGAAGTCTTTGGGTTGTCCTTCAACATTTGCATCGAGCCGGACATCGACTAAGTCGCTTAAGAAGGTGAGTTTTCCTATGAGTGTTTATGGGGAGGGGGGGGGGGGGGCTAACCTAGGTGTCTAATATCAACTTTTGTAGAAAGAAAGATTATATATATATTGACAGGCTTTATAACCTCTGTTATATCTACAGTTGCACCTAACATGCACTAGTCAATGAACTGTTTTAAAAAGTACATGTAGGTGTACTGACTGGTACATTTTGTGTAAAATTTACTGGTACCCACTGGTATATGGTACCACCTTTGATCAGTTACATGCATGTAACTTACATGTTAGCCTGGGTGCCAGACGCTGGCGTTCATGAACGATAGATTTTTTTGTGAGAAGAAGCCCTAATGCCTGCTATTGTATCCGCCGTCCAAACCCAGCCTGCCCAAAACCCTCTATATTTCACGCAAATTCACGCCGTATTTCTATATAGCCATCTGACAGTGCCCTGTGAAAGTAGTGACTGCACCTACTGTTGTTAACTCCTTATTACCATCTATGCAGGTGACAGTGAAACATACTGATAGCGTTTCTACCAACTATGACTTCTACGGACACCTCTGCGCTGGCCTCGGCCCGCCGCCGCGCCCTAACGGTAGCAGTCAGCGCTCTGTGCACCGAGGGAGGGTTTGGAACAGCAGAGAAGGGCGCACTGGAGAGTTTAACTGAGATGTTACAGAGCTGTGAGTTTTACAGTATCTTGATGTATTTGAAGTTCTCCAACAATTACACTGTAAAATGCTGTCTTGAAAGTTCATCTGTGTTGGTAAAATCTTTATTATGATTATGATTATGAAGCAAGTTTAAACTGTAATTTCCAATTTCTTGTGTTGGACATGGAGCATGCACGTGAGCGACAAAAAGCTGGGATTCGAACTCCCAACCTCTTGATCCAGAGTTAACTAACCATTGGACTACTCATGCTACTTTTGTACTTTCAAATTTGCTTCTTTGTAAAACACTAGGACTTAGTATCAGTCATAACATTATACATTACGTATAAGGACAGGCTCATAATGAATATAATTTTATTAGTGAAAAATCTGGTCCACAAATACTTAATTGTACAGTAGTACATCAGGGATATATTACTAGTATATTATGATGTATCTATTTATATGTACATGTACATTGTACATGCCAATGATTTTATGACCATACAAGACTGATAATGCCTCCCTTTGTTTGCAGATATCACAGAGATGGGCAGGAGTGCGAAGCAGTACTGTGAACTGGCCGGGCGGACAGAACCCATGCTGACAGATGTTACTGTGTCCCTCATAGAAATGGGTAACAATTATATCTTTCTACTTCTGATATATTCTGGCCACACCAATTTAATTTTATGGATGACATCCGCGCGCGCATTGATTTTCGCCCGATCTAAAAAAAAAACAAAAAAAGATCACGTATTCCGAGGCTCTGGCCTGGCTTTAGGCCTGGGTAGTGCATGGAGGTGATAACTCTGGTTGACGGCAGCCAGGCTACCGAAGCTCCAAGACTCAAGAACTCAGTACATACGTACAGCAGTGTCGATTCATATATTCCGCAAAAATCTAGCATGTGTCGGCCTGTCGTATACGTCGCTATGTATTGCGCCAAATTCACACTACCAGGTATGTATTCCTGTGGTTTAGTAGCATTTTTATTTTTGGCCGGATTTTTATTTTTTTCGCCCGCGCGCACTAGTTTGGGGGTCTTCAGAGGATGTCATCCATAAAATTAAATCGGTGTAGCCTTATGAAAAATTTAAACTGTTCTCCAACTCAAAGTCAAAATTTGACCCACCAGAATTTTTGACTGAATCACTCAGTCTTCCTCAGCTATCTGACCCAAATGCTGTGGACACGTGATTTTTCCCACGTGTGACGTCAGCAAAGGGTCAAAGGTTGTCTGAAGTCGATATTGCCCCCCGTCCCGGTTGAGCGATGGTTGAAGTGCCATGATGTATATGGCCTTTTTTATGTAATTAACTACTCAGATGAACTTTCATGCTACTTCTGGTATAGTGTCTTTTTCTGCTGTCTGGCATTGCTCTTCTATGATCGAAACAGAAAATCAACTTGTTCTTTTGTTTCCAGGTGCAGATATAGAAGGGTTGCCAGCGTATGCTAGGAGGGCGAACCGTCTCACTATGACAGCTCGTAAGTTGGGCTTTCTCTTTAATACTGTTCTGTTATCATAATGGCACAAAACTATCAGTATAAAGAATAAACTTTAGGGTAAACAGTCATCTTCTGCATATAGAAGGTGAATTGTGATGCATTTTCAAGAAGTCGGTTGTGCAACGTAAGCACCTAGCTTCATTGTAAAATACTAGCAGTATCAGACATAAAAAATTATAAACCTAGCACTTACACATGTAGCCTTTCTGGCTTCTTTTTGGTGGTCCCTTATGTAATTTGTCCTAATTTCTAATTCAGAAAGAATCATTCCTACATGTATAATGACCACCAGTCTACTGTCACCATATTTTCTACAAGTCCCTTGAGGGGTTGCTGTAGTCAGGTTTGACTACATGTGGTCAATACAAATCTGGTTGTTTCTTTTCCCCCTTCAGAACCTCAGGCTCGAACTCCAGGGAACCCCAAGGTACTCCAGACAGGGACCAAGAAGGCGCACCCGTCTTACGTACCCGAGCACCTGCCTGCCTTCCCTGACCCTCACACCTACATCAGGACACCTGTAATATTTCCTTGCTTTTAAACCTACCATGTTTACCAGTTTTGCCTTCACCAAGAAGGTTATGTTTTTAGTAGTGTGTGTGTGTGTGTGTCTGTCTTCCTGTCAACAGCATAACTTGAGGAGGCTTAGATGGATTGACTGTTTCCAAAATCATATCCAGTTGCTTGAGTAACTGGTTTTTGGCGTTAGATGGATTATCTTGATGTTTTGGTAGTGTTCATGTGTGTGTGTGTGTGTCTGTGTCTGTCTGTCTGCTGACAGCATAACTCGAGAAGGCTTAGATGAATTATCTTGATATTTGTTAGGTGGTTAGGTCTTGAATGACTTGATGAGGGCTCAAAAGGATTAGATTTTTGGCCCCCTGGCAACTTGTTGTCTCTATGTACAAAGGGTTTCTTTTCAGTGTGTCTGACTCTTTTCACACAGCCAAGGGTTTTACTAGTATTCAGCCAATCCTTCGATGACCGTCTGTTACCTTCCTCAGGACAAATCTGACTGGTTCACATTATACAGCACAGGTGTTGCAACCAAAGTGCCAAATGTGGTTCCAAATGTAAAGTCTTGTGTGTTTTCAGACGTTCCGACCTCCGGCAAGTGACTACCAGGTCATCAGAGAAACAGCAGCGTCACAGAGAAGGGACATCGAGCGTGCTCTGACCAGGTTCATCGCAAAAACTGGTGATACACAGAGCCTGTTTAAGGACGACAAGAACTCTTTTCCACGTCAGTATCTTATATGTAGCCTTTACCAGGCTTCGGATCAGCTGGAAAGAGTAGAAATAGGCCAAATAGACAGATAACAATTATTAACATGTCAGAGGGAGTTGGTCTGCCAAAGGAGTAGTTTTGAGAGCTCCTAACTATACTCCTTTAGCAGACCAACTCCCCCGGTATATTATCTTTCTATTTGGCCAATATTATTCCTATTCTATCCAGCTGCTGTTGAAGACCGGTAGAGGTTATCGCGTATGTTTTGTACATACTTGTAGTTGTTCTGTTTCCTTAGTGAATGTTCTCATTATATCATGGACATCATATCTGTATGTGGTTTTGTCCATGCTGTTTTACATTGTAAATAATTAATAATTTATTATTTACGTTATCTGTTTCCATAGTGAGACATATAGTGCCGCACCCTTGCCCCCTAAAAAGCTTCGGAAGCGGCTGGAAAGAGTACAAATTGTCAAAATAGACAGTTAACCCATCGCCTGAGTGCCATCCGATTTATAACGGCAACCCCCAAAAAGTTGCCGTTACAGGTTGGATGGCACCCAGGCTAGATAACCCAATGCAGACCCCAAGCAATGTATTGCCTTCTGTTTCCTTGCAAAAGTTTAAGCATGACTTTGTAAAAAGAATTAATTGCTTATTATTACATGTATTATTTATAAAACAGTGATAGCCCCACGCCCCCTCCCTGCACCCTACATGCTGTCTCTGGTGGGTTCTGACATGGACCTGACAGATGAGACCAGCGACGAGGAACCCATGGACACAACCAACACTTCACATCAACAGGTAGGGCCGATCTAGAACTGGCTATGGTTTTCTAAGATTAGGATATAGGGATTTTCTTCTAACACTACCATATGTCTCTCACCTGCTAGAAGAAAATCCCTATATCCTAATCTTAGAAAACCATGGCCAGTTCTAGGTCGTATTCTAGTATGAAAGGTTAACATCCCGTCTGTAGTTTCCAAATGTTATGTTGGAAAATATACTGTCTGCAACAGGCAAAATTCTGAAAACTGGGTACAGAGGATGGCACCCAGTCAAAAGTTAGCCAAAGCATACCCCTGCTTGAAGAGAGTAGTTCTTATGTGTAGGAAGAAATCAGAATAGAGTGATTTTTACCTCCATGTATGAAAGTCTTGTTTTATGTGTGTTTGCATAGCAACCTTTATGTATATGAGATTATTGATACCGATTTCTTGTTGTTCTTGTTCCAGACCCCTCCTCCTCCCCAGACAGCGGAAACCAGGGAAAGTAAAGACAGTCTAGCGGAAGGAAAGGGTGAAGATTCCTCCCAAGACCAGAGGAACAGAGATTCTGACTCCATCATTGATAACCCTTTCTTACAACCAGCGAGAAAACCTCCCTTCCGCAGAAAACTTTCAGTAAAGTAGGATATATATATATATAGAGAGAGAGAGGTTTTCTTTTACCCAACCAGTAATGTCTCTCACCTTGCTTACGTTATGGTGTCTATCAGACACCTTCCTCAGAGCTTCTGACTGGAGTTCTTCAAATGTAAGGTAAGAGGCAATATTGGTTGTGTAAAAGAAAACCTACATGTATATCCTGTACTCTTCCAACCTGATGAAACTATTCTTGTATATCAGTAAAGTAACACACGTGAAGAGACAGGTTTTTTGTGAAGAACATGTGTATTTTTTTCTGAAGTTAAGGCCACACCAATTTAATTTCTTTGTTCTTGGATTACAAAAGTGTCAATGTCAATGTCAATAATTTGACTACGGATTCTAGGTTGAACATCTGTTTCAGGGAGTTAGATTCAGGTTTTCTTTTTCATCTTCTGCTCTTACTGAAATTTCACATAGGAATGTTCGAGAACCAACAAATTAAATTGGGGTGGTCTAAGGGTGATATTTTTCTACAATATAGCAAGAATACGTTGTTTCTTTGTAAAATATTCTTTCAAAAAAATTACATTTCTTTGTATCAGTAGTGATGGAAACAGCACTAGAAAATACTGTATTTTTCTACAATTCGCCTTACACATACAAGTACACTGTGCATAATACATACATGTACCAGTAACTTTTTCCATGTAAATCATGTTATTATATAAAATATAGAGAAGTACAGCTACGAGGAGTAAATTCATCATAAAAGCAAATGTACACACACATAAAAATTAATACACTTATTTTTCTCAACCTTGTTTGGGAAATGGTTTAAACTTCTTTCTGCTCTGATGTAAACAATCTAATCCACAGCAGGAAGAAACTTAAAAATTACTGCATTAAAAGTCGTTTTCCAAGTTCAATAAAATTACATACAAAAGAGTGTTGAACACAATTTCACACATATTCAGTACACATGTACATATACATCCTTATTGCTTTCTTTTGTTGGCAAATTAAAGACTTTTCTTTGTATTAGTCATTAATTTGGTCTGTGACAAAATATACTTTTAGTCCCTTAGTTTCTTGAAGTACACAAGTCCTGTACACTATACAACATTTATAAAAATCGAAAACCTTCGAAAATTTGTGTGAAGCGTAGATTTGATATAAACTCAAATTTAGTATCAAAGTGCTTATTGCTGAATTGAATTTTTTCATCATATATTTGACAACAGCCAAAAAGTGTTGTGAATGTGAAAAATATAGATTCTGTTTGATTTGGTCCTTGAGGACGTTATTGCAAACATGTACTGTTTTCTACTGCACTTATACATGTAGTTCTATTCAGTGCTCTATTTGGCACAAAATGCCTGTTTAAAAAAAAATCAAGTTACATACCAGTACAAACAAACAGACAGAAATTGATGAATCTGATGTAACAATTTATTACATTCTATGTACATATGTATTCGATACTCAATAAAGAACAGAGATGCAAAAAAAAAAAAAAAAAGTTACATACCAGTTTAAGGGAAGGTTTGTTTAAGAACAACATATTGTGATGAAGTCACATTAAATTCCAGGCTACTTCATCCCAAGCCAGCGCCGAACTTGGTTTGTGTTATATCCAGAACCGTACTTAATCCAGAACCATGATCCAGGACACTGTACCTAAGCACTAAACACACAGAGACTATCCAAAACCGTGCCTGATCGTAATCGTAACCAATTTAGACATAGAACTGCAATTATGATAGATAGGCATGTTTCTGGATACGCATAGCCTGAGTGTCAGCCTTTTTAGCTTTCGTCCGCTATCCATGATCCGCTACCGGTTAGGATATGCATGGACTTTCCAGAACTGTGCCTGAGCATAAGTTCTGGATAAAGCACGGTTCTGGAATCAACACTGAATGTGTGACAGGTTTTCTACATCTCACTCCTTCTCCTCTTGCTCCTCCTCCTGGACCTGTTCAGCACTGTACATCACGTCTGTCCTCATGGCATACTTCACTCCTGCTGTCACCTCTTCTCCCTCGTGGTAAATGTCGTGTTGGAACACCAGGACTCGACCTGCGAGTGTGAAATCAAGTCAATATTATACCCTGTCTGTGTGCTCAGGCAAGGAGCTGGCCCCTTGCTCCCCCTCATATGGTTCCTCCAGTCAGTTCTCATAGTCTCAGCTTGCCTTAGGGTGAGCCCTGTGTGTGTGTCTTTCCACCTCTTGGGTGGTCTTCCCCGGAGTCTGTTTTTTTTTAAACTCCTGGTGGTATGCCTTATGAACTAAGGTGTTTGCCTGTCTTCTCATCACATGTCCAAAGCATGCCATGTTATACCGCACAATCTTTCATTGACAGAACAAAAGTACAGTAGCTACTAGAAAAACCATACAAACAAGTGGATACAAATGAATTTGCCCACTTACAAGTATATGAATAAATCAACATGATACTATAGAAAATCCTAATCAGCTATGGTTAAACAGTCGATCCTATATGAGAATAACAGTCTCCGTCACATCAGACATGTACATGAGAATGTTATCTTTCTCAAACAAAATACAAGTAGTTGGATCAAAAGTTTTAAATATGTAACTACCAACACAGATGAACTTTCATGATAAAATACAAGAAGGTTTTTTTTCCTTACCAGGTTTAGGAATAACAGGCACTTTTTCCTTGATCTTGTCTCCGGTGGCAAACATCGGAGCGATGAAGTTTGTTGCACCTCCGGTACTGCCCTGCAATACAGGAGAATAAAGTACATGTAAACAGTCTGTACACAGCACATTGGCACATCGAATCCATAGTGTGTTTTGGGCACACATTTTCAATTGACAGATTAGCCTACGAGGCTCGGTGGGCGTCACTCCACCGTACAGGGAGGGAAGTTGTGTAAAGTGCCTTTCCCAAGGGCACAACGTCAGGGCATGGTGAGTATCTAACCCAGGACCTATTGGTTCCAAGTCCACTACGCACACACGCACACACACTCACAAACAAACAAACACACACACACAATTGCATGCACTCACAAACATGGACATGCGTATATACACACATACACACAGATCTAAACATTCTTTGATATATTTACCTATTTGTGCACAGTATAGATTTAAATGATTCTAGTCTGACCTCGTTTAAGTACAGCATGAGAGTGAGGTAACTCCTCTCTCCGTTGTCTCGTCTGTAGCTCCCGTCCATGTGAGGATGGAAGTAGTTCCCTGGACCGTACTTCAGAAACCTCAGTCTGGGCACAAAAAATACAGCATGTATTTCATATCCATGGAGTAGGAAGTGCCTTATCACAACTTCTATCTAAGTCTATTATTGCATGTACAAATTTGCTCTTACTGTGGTTTATGAATTTAAAAATAAGTTTCTCTATCCTTGTGCTGTCACTCAAATGTGTAAAGACACAATGAAATACACTCACACGCACGCGCGTGCACACACACACACACACACACACATGCACACAAGCGTGAAAACACACACACACACATGCATACATACACACACACACATGCATACATACACATACGTATACACACAAACACACACACATACACACACACACACGTACACAACAAAATTGCACTACAAACAAATGCACTACAAACAATACAGGATGGTAACAAAACATTGAACATTTTTACCTTTCATTCAGTTCATTCAATTGCTTCCTATTAATAATGTCAATCCTTTCACAAATGTTAAATCTCACTAAGGCCACACCAATTTAATTTCTTGGTTAAAGGATTTTTCTAGAAAAATAATGGAGCGGGCGGGCGAAAAAAATAAAAAATAAAAACAGGCCTAGGCATCGTATTATGGCCAAAATGGTACAATAGGAGCCATGAAATCAACACACCAGGCTGGTTCAAAATTTAAACAATGAATTTTGAACTTTTAATGATACTACTGCATTGAAAGATGGAATGACTGTAAGAAGTGGTAAGAAAAGGACTGTTTTCAACTGTTCAGGGCAAAATATGAACATTTTGCAGTTGATTCTGAATTTTTATTTTTATTTGCAAATCAGAAAAAAATGAAGCGGCGAATCCGTTAACCAAGAAATTAAATTGGTGTGGCCTTAAGTAAGTAAATAGATAAAGAAATAAAGTCTCACCTCTCGTTCAGCCCGAGCACGTCCCTCCGTGCCCAGCGCCGTGGAACATACTGTTTGATTCTCTCCCAGATCCACTCCGCACGCTCCCTGGAGTCGATGATGCAGCGCTCGCTGTTACGGTAGTCGGTCGCAAGGATCTGCCTGGGAGGTGAAAACAAAAAATGAAACTTGAAAGGTAACATTTGCAAAGCAATTATGCTTAATGTTTCCCTTTGCATATGGTCTGTTCTGTTAATTCTTACTCAAACACATTCATATATATGGTGACAGGAGTCGATGATGCAGCGCTCGCTGTTACGGTAGTCGGTCGCAAGGATCTGTCTGGGGGACAAAAACAAATAAGAGAAATTGGTTTATATACTAGGTAGAGTGCTACTATCATCTCTCAAGATGGAAGGTTACCTACTTTAAGTACCTACTAGTGGGTACATGTACATAGGTAACATAGTCTTTTGAGGCTGTAGGGGCAGTGGGTTGTTAATCCGCTATGTCAAGGGCAATTCCCTCTGCTTCCACTGCCTTTTACCTCCCCAACCAAAGTCAGGTAGACTGTGATTTCTACGTCTGCGAGTAAAGAAAGTTGTTTACGCCATTCCAAAGAACACAACGTCTTGCCAGAAATTGAACCTGTCACCTCTCATTCTTGTGTCTGCTAGCTACTACCAAATTTTGTTTTGTGGAATTTAAGAACTTCATCTTCAAAAGAAAAAAAAGCAATTTTACCTTCCTCCTCCAACATTCACTAAGGCCACCTCATATCCCTTCTCTTCTGTCTCACGAATCAGCTCTTCACATTCCTGAAGAAAACAATATGTCTCAACATTAGTCTCTCTCTATGCATATTTGCACCAATGCTCATAGAAATATGTACTACAGTGTCCTTGGGAAAGGCATTTTACAACACCTACATGTACTAGTATTTCCCTACTCGACTGAGATGGAAATGAGAACAGCTCAGCTTCAGTCAGAGATATCCTCTTGAGTGGGGACTGCAAAGCCGGAGGTCCCTGGTTGGTTGTGGAGTCAGCAATCCTTCCCTGTGTAACAGTGGGGGGGTTCATAGGCGCTACCAACTGACCCGGCCGATGGGTCTAGACCTTTTAGCTGAGTGGTTAGAGCGTCGGTGTGTGGACTGGTGTCCGGTTTGGTCGTGGGTTCGAACCCTGCCCGGGACCACGGGTTTTTATCCACACCTCCTGTTTCTTACACCTGTGTAAATGGATCAAATCTTACAGCCTAACGTCTCGAGCAGCTTTGATACTGTGCAAAACTGGTGACTGCTGCGTCTAAAGGCGGTTTTACAACATTATGGGAAACAACAAAATATTCCTCACCTCCTTTGAGAAGACGTTATCGATGATGAAGGCGAGTTTGTCGTTCTGGAACTCCCCCGGAAGGTTGATGTCCTTCCTCTGACCGTGCAGCTGGACTTCCACCTCGGACAGAGCGCGCTGGTCAACTGGACTCCCCATCCAGGCTGGAGTTTTCAGTGGCTGGGGACAACAAAATAACTGGTTTGTTTACTAGTATTCATTCATGGAGATTTTTATCACATTTGTGGCTGGGCCTGGATTCCCAAGGTTGTCAGGACACTTGGGCGATTCCCTTGACGTTAAGAATAATCTCCAAGGAGATTATCATAATGCATTGGCAAACCTGCACCTAAACCTACTGGTCAATGTATTACATATACATATACATGTAAGTGTTGATTTGTTATGCACTTTATAGCCAGACAACGTTACAGTCTATAAAAAGATTAATGATAAAGAATGGAAGTGGTTTCCAACCAGTTTACCAATTTCAGCCATTCAATAATATAAGACATCAAAACATTGTTTGCAACAAAAATATGGCAAAAACTAGAGGTCGGAGATCTCATGTCTTCGTCAGAGGTACATCGTTCTAGAGAAATTAACATGCGTATCTCTTCACTCTTTTTAATAATCAATTTGGTCTAAAGAACAAAAGAATCTCAGACTGTACTATTTTTATGGTACAGAACACCCTGAAACGGTTTGCCGCAGATAATACAGATGCGTCGTCACCCGTGTTAGCCCCCCCCCCACGTTATTTGAGTTTGGACGGTTACTGAAAAAAAAAAAACGTTCAAGAAATTCTTACTGTGTTGAAAGTGTCACGACAGCGCCGCAAAATATAATAAGAGAAGATGTTATAAAGGAAAGAATCAGAACAGGGTGACTACTGCTGTTTTGTTAATTTGTCTTTATGACAAATAGAAGACTTGTTTCTTGTGTTTTTTGTGTCCTAACATTTGTACTTTCTACAGTTAGTATATTCCAAATCTAGGCATCTGGTTTTTCGGCCCTTCGTGTTTTTATTGCGCGCTTGCCTTAAATTTAAGGTAATTAGATTTAAGGTCTCCAGTGGACGTCATCCATAGCAATTACTTGGTGTGGCCGTAGAAAATAACCTGACATATGTCCAACCTATCCTCCCCCTGCTGAAGTTATAGTACAATCCCTCAATGTAACGTCATTTGATCCCATCCCATTATGGGGTTCCCGGCTATATCCAGCTGTCGGCTGTCTCCAAGCAGATGTAGGTGGGGGATTTCTAAACACAAAAGGTCTTATTACGGGGACATAACGACCTCCACGACTCTCATCTTTGAACTCAATCTTGGAGACCACGACAGTAATATGCCTATCAAATTTCATTAACTTCCATCCACACATACAAAAGTAACCTGCTCACAAGAAAAATTAACAAAATGCCCCCTGTAGTCACAACGAAACCCCCCACGAAGCTCAGTAACGAACTTAACCTTGGTCCCGACAATAGTAAGCACCACACAAAGAATTATAATCAACATTTTACAAATACTTGAGTTATCTTGCTAACAAGCCACAAACACAAAAGGTGCACTAACGTGACGCACGGACCCCCCACGAAGCCGAAACTTGTACTTGACTTTGGCCTCAACAGCGGTAATATGCCTGCCAAAAATCATGGACGTCGAATCATGCCTTCCAGAGTTATATCACAAAATCCGCATTTCCCCACACTCCGGCGAGACAATTTCATAGTCCTTCTGACGAAGACAATTATAGGCACTTACGTTTTCTTGAGAAATGACACTCAACAAGTACTTAAACATTGGAACAGTCCAGTCCCAACTTGTGACCGTTTCTTAATAATTTCGTTGCCCAGGCTCTCTAACATTCACAACAACCTGACAGTTGCATTTATAGCGATCCTCTGTATATCCCCTATGAAGTCATCGCCGAAATAAGAAAGTTCGTACTAAAGTCCTAACGCCCTGTGACGAAGCAAGTAAACGTTTCTATTTCCATGTCGAAACCAGATGACTCAGAGCTAAAAAAAAAACAACAACTAGTATTATAAAACTTACAGTATTCCCTGGTCTTCACGTTGATTCCATGGTGTCTTTTGTAGTTGTGGGAGCTAGAAGAAGGCTTGCGAGCTGGATTTCTGTTCCTGTTTGAACGTGAAACAGTTTCAGATCATATTTTTGTCTGTCCTGTTTGTTGCTTCTTTCTTGGTTGCTACTTCCGTGTAAACAGGTGTCTGACCTATGACCTAAGGGAAGCTGTGCAACAGCGCCAATACTTATAGCGGAATTATGTGGGAATGCAGGAAAATACTTCGTGAGTTCTAAAAGTTATACATATATTATATGCGGAAGGAAAGCGTTTGCACTAGTGGAGCTGTATCTATTGCATTTGTTTAGGATTTCCCACAGAGTCTATGTGTGTGTGTGTGTGTGTGTGTGTGTGTGTGTGTGTGTGTGTGTGTGTGTGTGTGTGTGTGTGTGTGTGTGTGTGTGTGTGTGTGTGTGTGTGTGTGATTGTGTTGGGTTCAATTTTACTGATCTGAACGAGAAAAAAAAATCCAGGTCGGAAGTTTCCAGTTTACAGCCTTCAATCAAGAGACACCTGTCCAGGACAACCACCCTCGGGCATTTCCGGTGCTTTGTGACGTCACCTTCGGGCCAGCTCGTGCGTGTCTCAAAGTAGTCCGGTCGGCCAGGTTTAAGAGTTACAATGAAATCATTTAACGTATGTCAGATATTGTTGATTTATGGTCTCTTTTAATTTATTTAGTGCATGACTAATTAGCTTATTCCCACAGGACCAATACTTGAAACATCTTCCAATGAAACCTTCAAAATCGTAAACTTCGAAAATTTCTAGAAAATCTCAATTTTGTCCAATTTTTATGCGAAGGGAAGCATTCTGATCGGAAGAATGCAACATGGAATCATTTTTAACAGTCCTTGGCGCCCCCTGTTTTGTTAGTGTGACATCCCTACTAGTAGGTCCGGTCGAACAGGTTATTTTATAAGCGCTTGGCTGCCCGAAGACAAACAAGAGGCCGTCTTTCCAGGTCACTTCACAAAAGACGGAATTCCCAGGGAGCTGCAGTTTTGGTTCCTGAATATTCATGATCACATCGTAGCTTGGAAGGAACTCTGAACGAAGGCGTCGCTTGGGGCTTTGTCTTGGAGTGCTTGAAGAATTCCTTGTCTTACTTAAAGACGTTTGTGTGCTAGTACCTTGAAGGAAGTGGATCGACACTACAGCTGCGTCTTGTCGCTTGTCTAGAACCTAGAGCGGAGCTTAGCGTGCCGATATGTCTGATCCTAAGGCTGAAAAACAAAACCAGGAGAAAGGAGGGGGGTGCAGCACTGATGCGGAAATGGTACAACAACAACAGCAGCAACAACTACCACAGAGTCAGACACAGGTGGAAATGAACGACCTAAACGTGGTAGAGGGACAAAACACACAGCAAACTCAGAGTCAAGCGGTAAGGAACTTTGTCTGTTGTTGTAAACACTTTGCGTAAACGTTGGCTTTTACTGTGGTTTGAATATAGCCTCCGGGGAAGAAGTGGTATCCGGTCGTTTCCGGACACATAACACAAGGAAGTCGCTTCGATACACATAGAAGTTCTTTCACTACTAGAGGGTTACCTTTAATACATTGGTTGCATCCATGTCAAAACGCTACATTTTGCTTGTTAAATTTTTCAGGTTGATCTTTCTTAGTGGGGTCATAAGAGGCTACGCAGTATACGCTGGATAGTCTTTTGGTTGCTTCACGTTCTGTTCATGCTTGATTTATATTATATAAATGTTCGGTTTCGAGTTTTGTCTGTCCCACGAAGGCCAAATAGACCACGCAGTCTACTGTTCTCTGTCTATTTGGCCAATTTATGGAGGATACTAGTTTGTAAACAATCCAGGATTCAAACAACCACAAAAGAACGTTTGCATTCCAATGCCTAAACTATTTGAATTGAGTTTGATTAAAAGCCAGTGCCAATTAGCCACCGTCTGAGATTTAGACGTACGTCTTTAAAGTATCAACTGCTGAAGTCAGTCACAATGGGCATTTAATGCCGTGCGAATTCAGTATTCAAAGTTGTCTGACTCAATTCAGTGGTGAAAATAAGTTGGATGTTCATCTTTTGGGAAAGGGTTTAACTCTAGTCTAAATCTCTTGGGGCTTACTAGAGAAAGGAGCAGAAACAGCGTGAAACAAAATTACCAAAAGAACTCACTAGTAGTCTGCTAGTGAAGGTGAATAGTGGGTCCCCTAGAGCTTTTTAAACAGAGAGAGAGAGTTTTCTGAGGGCAAGGAAGTTTAAGACAACCCTCGACGTCACAAGGATCTACGATAGTTTTTTCTATCGCAAGCCGGATTTTGTAAAACACTTGCACCACTCAGTCCCAAGAATTACTCTCCAAGCAGAGGTTGGTGGGGGAAGATCGTTACCCGGCCCTTTTTTTGTCGCTACCCCCACCAACGAATTGGACCCGCTCTGGCCAATGGATACTGCCTGGCCAATTTGATACTGTCTTCGTTTTCCACCCTAGGATCTGCTTGGGGCTTACTAAGCAGAATGGCCTCCATTCGTTATCGCAAACGTATCTGAACAATCTGAGTCAAGTCAAAAGTTGTTTTTCTGGCACGCGACAGTGTATGTTGTTCTCGTTACCTTTGATTGTAACCCGAATATCTCCTTATTTTTAGAGCCAATGACTAAACACACCTGTCCATACTGCCGTCTTGGTTTCACGTTAAACTAACAAAAATATTCTGAAAGGGCCCCGCTTAATTTTTCAACCTCGTAAACGCGTTTCTACAGTGTTTACTGTTGCCCGTCTAAACAGCTTGAAACCTACACGTCAATCCTTAGGGTCAAGTTAAGGACAATCCTTTTCTACAGGAAACAGCTGGACTTTGTGCGATAAATTATGAGGAAGTTAAGCCTAACTTTGCTGTCATCAAGAAATATGATCGGACTTTGACTAAGACTAGTACATAGTGCTTGAGTTTTCAGACCCCCTTTAAATTTAGAAAAGGGGTAGCTACTAGTTTTATACGTTTATGGTTCCTTCCTCCAAAATACCCCCATATATGTTATACATCAACAGAAAAGACAAGAGCCTCTACTACTTTTAAGAAATATCCTAGAAATTTGGCCTCAATGAATGTCAGTAGTAACTATTTACAATAAATAAATTCAGCAACTGCCGTCGGCTTGTCATAATGTTGTGCTTTGTTAGTCTCTACCAGACTTCTTCTACAGGCTGATAAATAGTAGAAATGTGCAGGCAAACTGGAGATTCTATGGGCGGACATCTCCTCTGGTCAAAGATATTCCCTTTTTAGGCCAATTTCTACTAGTCATCGGCCTGCAAAAGGAGTCTGGTGGATGGAGACTAGTGCTTTGTAGCAACAACTGTCGTTAGGTGCACATGGGTCAACGGAAATATGCCTATTTCTATTTGTCTTTCTACGCTGGAGCCCGTGTTTGGGAAATAGTATAAGGTACAATTTCCGCTCAGCTGAGCACATTTGCTCTGGAATGTGTAAACAATGAACCTTACATATCTGTTCCTACCATGCCTATAAAGTTACACGTACTTTGCTACAAAGTTACCAGAACATCCGTATAACATATGTTACGAAATAGAAGTATTAGTAAGTTACAGCCGCTTGCAAATGACACAATCCTCAGTTCAACATTAAAAACGTGTCTTAAGTTTGCTCTCAACTGTTACAAAACAAAACGGCGAAACAAGCGATTTAAAAAGTCACCCTGGTCAAAGATAGCCTGATTGTCATCCTTTTTAGCTTTCGTCCGGTAGCGGATCTTGGGGAGCGGACCAAAGCTGAAAAGGCTGACACTCAGGCTAGGTCAAAGAAATTTAAAATTATTTCTTTATTACAGCTGATTCCACAAGATGAGATACAAGGGAAGTCTAAGTTCGTGTTCTTTAAGAAGGTGCGGACCGGGCCGCCCAAAGTCAGACCCCCTCTAGGGATGAATGCTTACGCACAGAAGAAGACCATGGCGCAAGGATTCATGGACATGGCACTTCTCACGGCTAACGCCGCACAGCTAAAGCTTATTATGGTGGAGGTAAGAGTTTGCTTTCTCTCTCCCTCATTCTCTCTCTCTCTCTCCCTCATTCTCTCTCTCACCGTGTCTTTCTCTCTCTTTCTGAGTCTCTCACTCTCACTCTCTCCCCCTCTCTCACTCTCTCTTTCTGAGTCTCTCTCACTCACTCTCTCCCTCTCTCTCATTCTCTCTCTCACACTCTGAATCTCTCTCTCTCTCTGAGTCTCTCTCCCCCTCCCTCACTCTCTCTCTCTGAGTCTCTCTCCCTGTCTCTCTCACTCTCTCCCTCAATCTGTGTGTGTGTGCGTGCATGTTTGTGTGTGTGTGTGTGTGTGTGTGTGTGTGTGTGTGTGTGTGTGTGTGTGTGGATGTGAGTGTGATCATATATGTGTCTCTGTACTATGAACGCATTCACTATGTGTATGTATCATATGTCATCAAGAACCACCTCACGTATGTTTTTCTCCCTTTTCAGGGTCATGACGGCCGGATCCCGTTCTTTGACTTCATCGTGGCGCTGCTGGGACTGTCCATCGCGTTCCAGATCGTGGTGGGAGTTCTGCTGCTGTTCAAGTCTCAGTACAACATCGAGCAGCATCACGACCAACACAGGGCAGACAGGTATGTAATTTTATCCATGTACCTCTGATTCTCTGTACCACCCTTTATCAAATGGTGTGGTATAAGCCCACACGGACTGGGCGCGTGAACCGCACGATACGAGAATAAAGCCTCATTCATTCATTCATTCATTCGTTCGTTCAGGGGCAAATTCATTCAGGGGCAAAGTGCATAAATCGTATAAAAAGCAACATTTCAATTGCAAATTTACGGTCACGCTAAGAATATTAGTGAAAAGAGAAAGAACACAGGCTCGGATTCGAACACGAAGATAATTTGGACTGCTGTATTTTTGTCCCTCATTTTTTTAAAACCCATACCGATTATACATGTATCTAGTTGGTTTCTTATGCCTCTGATGTTTTTGTTTGCCTTTTTTACTACAGAGCCAACAACTGGGCTACGGGACTGGTCATGTTAATCACAGTTTTAAACGTCTTCATATCTGCTTTCATCATGCTGGAGGACAGCTCAAAATCGCCAGATGGCGCTAGTACTACATCAACTTCTCCCACTGCAGTACCACAAGCGCCGGCGGCGGCGCTCATAACGCCAGCGGAGTCCTCAACAGGTTAGCCGCAGTTCGGATTCCGAAAGGATCGTCCTAAAAAATAAATACGCAGGACAGGGATACATCCATATCCATATGATATGAAATTCCATACATACATGATAAATTTGGTGGGATAACACCGTGGCAATATAAAGACAGTGAAAGCTACATATGTATTTGCATACTTAAGTTGTGCTGCATGTAAACGTACTGTGTTTCTCCCAACAGCTTAAAGAATAGATGGAATAGAGTTCTATAGCCAGAAGTGTTCTTTCTGCTGCATTTCTTTTCTTGAATGATCTAATCCTCTAACAACGTCTTGTGAAAACCCTTTTTTCTCCCTTTAGTCGGTTATACGTCTACAATGGCGGCTCTTTTGGCGCAGAGTTCCACTTGCATCTGTCCGACCACTTGATGTAACACAGCCAACTATCAGCGACTAACGAATCTTAGCACGAAAGTTCATCTGTGTTGGTATAATATATATGACGAAAAATAAGTTAATTTGTTTTGTTTTGTTGGGTACTACGTTATGTGCAGGTCATCTATGAGTAGCAAGGAAACATCTAACAATAACAAGTAAGATTTTGCTTTTAATTAGTATCACTAACGTAGCAAGTTTTGAGGCCCTAGGTTTTGTGTGTGTTGGTGGGTGATCTTGACATTTGCGTTGAAAAAGTTAACCGCCTATATTTCGTAGTTATTTCTTACGATTTCCTGCTTTTAAGCAGGCGTTAAACTATTAATGAAAAAGAATCTAGAAGTAAGATCAACATACCAAAATTTACGTGACTTCTCATGTAAAATTCCACAAACCAAGTGCAAGTTTGTCACTTTGTAAATGATTCTCATATAAGGAAAACTACTTTCTGTTGTAAACGTACTAAACATAGTGTAGGCATTATTCATAACTTTATCTTTGCTGCATTGCAGTAGTCAAAATTTACAATGGCCGTTAATATGTAAATACTGCAGCTGTATTTTTGTACCCTTTCATTGTATTACTGATCGTCTTAGGATTTTCGTATGTAATAAATTTATGATTGAACAAGTAAACCACCCTGTCAGTGTGTGTTTGTGTGTGTGTGTGTGTGTGTGTGTGTGTGAGAGAGAAAGAGAGAGAGACTGTGTGTGTGTGTGTGTGTGTGTGTGTACGCATGTGTGTGTGTGTGTGTGTGTGTGTGTGTGTGTGTGTGTGTGTGTGTGTGTATGTGCGTGTGCGTGTGCGTATGTGTGTGTGAGTGAGTGTGCATGTGTGTGTATGTGTGTTTGTCTGTGCCTGTGTGTGTGTGTGTGTGTGTGTGTGTATGTGTATGTGTGTTTGTGTGCCTGTGTATGTGTATATGTGTGTGATCACACGAAGCAATTTAAGAAAGACCATCATATAGGTGGAAAAAATTATGCACTTGTTGCCCACTAAGCACATACATATTCTTATTACGTATTAGCAATTCGCTGAGCACAATCGACCTTCTCATAACAAGGCAGAACAACAACAACGAAAACCGCCTCCGGCAATATCGTCTGCTGGCGCTTTGATTACACAAAATTACTCCCAGACACAAATCAAGTCCTTACCTTACAACACTTCCACACGAATACTGGATCCTCTGTGCGGAGTTTCTACAGCATAATTTGATCCGAGTAGACCTAAAAATGCCTGAGACTACGAATTCTAACCACAAACCCCTGGTGGAACAGACGCAAGAAGAAGGACAAGACGTTTCTCAAACACAGGTGGTATGTACATGTACATGTGTAACCTTGTGTCCGTAGTGTACTCGCCATATTATGCAGACGTGACAAATTAAAGACGTTGTTTAATCGTAAGTTGTGGACATTAATGGGTGACTGTTGATTCGTTTCAAGCCTCGTTGACTTAGAAAAACAATTTTATAATCAATTCCTAGCGTACTGGTACATGTAAACATGCAATACGCAGTGAAATGTGAAATGATTAGGAGTGGCTCTCGCTCACATTTTTAAGGTCATACCAAAAGAAGGTGTGTCTTAACAATGGCGTCCCCTACTTGTATCACATTAAACAACATGATGATTGAAATGGATCTTTCAACTATTTACTAGCATGTTAAAGTCCTTATCACTAAAATGGAGACATTATCACTAAAATGGAGACATTATCACTAAAATGGAGACAATAGACACTATAGGCTATAAGATTCCAAACGCTTGGGTGAAAGCAAACTAATCCTAGGGACCACAAAAACGTGCATACTGTAGCCAGGTGGTTATGTAGAGGTGGCAATTCAACAGTACAGGCTTGACACTATCCATTGTATCACAACAAACCAAGGAACATTGTAGTTGAGAGGGGCGCTAGTATGTGGTTAGGTCTTCCTGGGGCCAAGGACGGGGCAGCCTGCAAGGCGGCAATTTTGAAACGTCTCCTATCTGAGGTCAACTTTGTTGTAACACACAGACTTGACTTGACTCGGAATTTGCGCTAGCACTTTTTTCGTTAATATATTGAGGACTTACTCGTATATAAAGCAACCTACAATTCAAACTCATGCCCTGTCGCCACGAAGTTCTTCACACAACCGAAGCAGCTACACCTGGCGGTGGGTAGTAGAACGTGTCTTTATTGCTCCAAGGAAGGTAAAAAAAAGACTAGCAAAATGATTAACTATTGAATATGATATCGAAATGTGCAAGAAACATGCTATTTTAACACCCCCATTTTCCCCAGTTGATTCCAGAGGTAGATCAACATCAACATCATGATCATCAGAAGAAACCGAGGTTTAAAAACATGCGAGCTATGATGAAGGGACCGAGCACGAAGGACTGTAAACTGGACAAGAACAGTTTCACCCACAAGAAGACCATGGCGCAAGGCTTCATGGACATGGCGCTGATGACGGCAAACGCCGCACAGCTCAAACTTGTGCTGTATGAGGTCAGGGACGAAATTGTTCTCTTTGAATAATAGAATTCTATTCTTTTAGAATTATAGAATGTTCCATCCTTTTTCGAATGACAGAACTCTTTTCGAATGACAGAACTCTTTTCGAATGATCTAATTCTTTTTAGATAATAGAATTCTGTTCGGAGAGTATAATTCTTTTTGTACATTGAGAAAAATTCCTTTATTCTTCAGTGACCTGCCAACCTGTTAAAAGACGTTTGGTTTGAATCTCTCAGTATTTTACTCTGTACATGTGTTTGTGTTCTACTTGCAGGGCAGACAGGGTCGTATCTTCCTGTTTGAGTTCGTGATGTTCCTGCTGGTGTGTTCCATCATCGTGCAGATCCTGGTGGGGATTCTGTTATTCATCAAGTCCCGCTACAACATAGACAACGAGGATCACCACAAATACTGCGAAATGTAAGCACTTATAAAATTATTACTGATACGGCTACTTCGATGAAGGTTAGACACCCATGTAACAAGATGTACAACTTATTATTAAATGGAAAATGTTACTACTCATAGGACTGGAGAGGTTTGAAAAATTGTCCGACATTTCAAGTAGCGTACTACTTTTCTTCGGTGAATAACGGCAGAATCTCTTGTTGAACAGGTATCTATCCAAAAACTGGCTGTGGATTAATACGTGAAGACAATTTTTGGACATTATATTAAGTCAATTTTGAAAAGAATTCTAGATATGGCGTTAAACGTTGATAGGACCCCCCTGTAGACCCTCTTAAAAGAGCCATTTTGTGTTGTACTGTACTTAATTTCAGGGCCAACAACTGGGCTACAGGACTGGTGATGATCGTCACTATCCTCAACGTCTTCATTTCGGCCTTCGTCATGGTCGACCAGCCCGGGGACTCATCTACGCATGCGCCAACGGTTGCTGGGCAACCGGCTGTTCCCACGGTTGGTCTGCCTCCCTCTGGAATAGTAGTAACAGGTGACCGTGGGATACTAAAGTAACAACCTTCAGGAAATCTTGCTTTTTTTTACACAAAGATCTTTAGTTTACCCCTCGCCAGCCTTTCTAGATTTTTAACAAAATTTCTAGCAGAAACAGCGTTGTGTTCTATGAAAAACTACTATGTGCCTATTTTCTCGCTACACTGTCTACCAACTGTCTTTTTTTCTTTTTCAGCACACACCCCATCGATAACTACCACCGGAGTGCTGAATACAACATGCGTGTGACCCACGTGTTCTACAGATTAATCTAGAACTTAATATACGACGAAATGTTCAGAAGATTACGCAAAAAAATAATCTTATATACAGCTCAACTGCGTAAATTTCTGTGTACAAACTTTGTATTGTTTATCATCAAAATAAGTTGTTATGGATTAGGATATAGCCACATAAATGTAGGCTCAATTTTTGTCATTTTTCGTAACAACATTTTTGCTTAAGTATATGCATGTAGCTATAAGGCCAGTAAACAGATGATCTAAGTTATTTCCCTACAAAGCCAAAGCCAGGAAAAGAAGGATCTAAGCTGTAATAAAAAAACATCGCTGTTCCTGCTGTTGTTACGCTCACGTTTTTTGCGAAAAGGTACTGGTGTTGCATAATTAGTCCACTATATAGGATACGCACATAATGTCTTATATTTGCCAAACTGCAAAGTCGCAATAAATTTTGCTAATGTATTTTGAAAACTGTCAAAATCTGCCCTTTTGCTGGAGTAAGTGTTTCGCTGTGTATCTCATTACCTGGAGCTCAAAGCCTGGAGCTCTAACTTTCGATGCTAGTTATCTGTATAGCCGCCCATCGGCGTAACACACCAGCTATACGTTTAACTACGTGTAGTATCAAACAAAATGTTCATGGTAATATACATTGTAGGTGTCAGACGATAACGAACCTGTAACATTTGAAAAACACACAGCCTTGACTCGGCGGATATCAGAATTTGTATGCATAACGACAAAAAGGGTCCCAAAGGGTCAATGTCCCAAAGTTGTACAACAAGTTCTGCATGACAGTTCTTTGGCCTTTTACACAAATGGATCGAAACGTTTTCACATACACAGACGTTGGGATATTTTCTGCGGGATATACTAGTATCAATCTTTGATGACCCCAGTATGTCTGACACCAAGGATTTTGACCAGAAGTCCGGGAAGGAACAGACAGATGCAGAGAAACAAGAAGGCGGAGACACCCTGCAGGCACAACTGGTATGTTGTTCTTGTCGTTGTTGTTTTTGTGCGTTCTTTTTGTGCGTTTTGTGTTTTCTACTCAAGTTGCAGCAGACAAAGTAACACTTTGACAGCAGTTTCGTACAGTAAGTACACGCTGGGTAAGTTTTAACTATTGTGCCACTCACATTGGGATGGCCTTGTCTTTTCTAATTCGATAACGGGGGGGGGGAGGGGGTACTTAACGTACCTCTCCTCAAGGCCAGGTACATTGTACCTCCGGTTTTGCGTCCTATATCCAAGAGACGTCCCTAACTGAAGCTATGGACTGATTTTTACCATGTCGAATGAGGGAATAAATGTTAAGTTTCCTAACATTCGGGGTCTGGTAAGAATTTTGAATACTAGTCCAATACTACGCCATACCAAATTTAAAGGAGTGGTCACATACCTATGCAAGGTACGGTCGAAACATTGGCGTCTGTGCCAATTTGTTTTTCTGTTGTTTTGACAGGTCGTTACCTACACGTGGCTTCACAATTGTGTAACAATTATCTGGAAAGACCATATCTAATAAACTCATGGTAGTATGTAACTGTTACATACAAATCTTTGATTTTGGAGAGAATTCAATACAAATGCAGTCAAACTTGTCCATGGCGACCACCCGAGTGTCTCAAATGCTCACAGCAGGTGGTTGTTATACTATAGATAGCACCCTTAATGCTTAGATCTATGGTAATGATAATCTAAGTGACCACCAAAAAGTAGCCAGGTGGTCCTTCTGTAGCTATGGGTGCTAGCATTGAGGATTGAATAATAAAAGTTGGAGTATAAAACAAATGTCCTCCCTTAATTTTTTTACACGGCGTTTTTCACAGTTGATTCCCGAAGAACAGCAGAAAGATGGGAAGAAGAAGAAATTTCATAACCTGCGAGCTATGATGAAGGGCCCGAGCACGAAGGGAGGAGCGCCTCTGGACAAGAACAGTTTCACCCACAAGAAGACCATGGCGCAAGGCTTCATGGACATGGCGCTGATGACGGCAAACGCCGCACAGCTCAAACTCGTGCTGTATGAGGTCAGTTAGGAAGACTTATGTTCAATGGATAGAATTCTTTTTCTTCTTCTTTACGAGGAGCATAATTCTTTTCGAAGAACAGAATTCTTTTCGAAAAACAGAATTCAGATTCTTTTCGAATGACAGAATTCGTTGTGATTATTTTCGAATGATAGATCTCTGGTTCGAATCATAGTATTTTTTTCAAATGGTAGAATTCTCTTTCGAAGTATAGAACTCAATTCTAGTAGGAATTCTTTTCACAGATCTAGAGTCAACCTTAATGTTTCTGGTCTTGTATGAGTTCAGACACGAAAAGTACTTAGTAGACTGACATGCATGAGGTCACACACTGCAAATGTTTCAATACTAAAAATCCCCGATTTCTTGTTTGTTCAGGGTAAACATGGTCGGATCTTCCTGTTTGAGTTCGTGATGTTCCTGCTGGTGTGTTCCATCATCGTGCAGATCCTGGTGGGGATTCTGTTATTCATCAAGTCCCGCTACAACATAGAAGAACCGAAGGATCACAAATACTGCGAAATGTAGGTATTAGTCGTGAAATACTATAGGATATTCAGTGAGGAAATAAAGATAATTTTTAAAGATTTCCCTTCACCTTTTGGCTTTCGGCCAGACCTCCGACTCTTGTCGTCAAGATGAAAGCGATTAGCGATTGTCGTGCATCTTTGACCTATTGCTGACGTCACACTTCCACGTGACTAGGGCTTCGGGTCATTCAAACTTGAGAAGGGTCCGAGTTCTGACAGAAAGCCTGCTGGAAACCTCTTAACTTCTGTGTGCGGAGTTTTTGATATTCATAATGTCATTAACCGTCACAGATGAACTTGAAATAATTCTAATAATTCTTTTGTTTTGGCGTCACCATAGACTTAAATTACAATAACTTTTGCATTTTTTCCCCGAATTTTAGGGCCAATAACTGGGCTACAGGGCTAGTGATGATCGTCACTATCCTCAACGTCTTCATTTCGGCCTTCGTCATGGTGGAAAACAGCAGCGACAAACCGGCAGCAGCTGCCAAAATGTCCATGTCTACTGCAGCCTGCATCTGTCCGTCCTGTGAAACTCCAACGGACTGAGAAAATGTGGATGGATTATTAGAAGGCCATGTTGATTCGATTATATGGATGGCATCCTCTCGGAACCCCAAAACTGATGCGCGCGTGCGAAAAAAAGTTTTGCTAAAAAAGTTGCTTTCATAATGAAATCTGAATATGAAGGTTGAACAAAGGACACAGAGTATGGTATGTCGAATAATCTAGTCTTCAAATTAATTTCTTTACATTTTCGTCTTTTTCGTTTAATATTGGCATTCTACGACATTGGTATCATTTTCCAATATATTTTTTCAACTTACGGTATATATTTGCTCATTTTGCATCATTTTTTTTGCATCTGTTTCTACAGTATGGCTGAAAACGTTTTTTTGAAACGGACGAAAATTCTTGCGCGCGCGGATGTCATCCATATAATCAAATCAACATGGCCTAATAGCTTAAACACTTAATGACGTCATCGCCTAATAGACTTGCCGGACTCCAAATAACAACATCTTTTAGTTGTCTTTGAAGCATTTAATTGGATTGAGTAGCGTTAATGTGCGTTGACACGGGGATTTGTAGTTTCTCACGCACAATTTGCCATAGCGGGAACCCAAATCACTCTGCAGTCTGACTTGTTTAACAAATAAGTTGCGCAATTCCTATTCGTAATAAACGACTTTTAGGTCACTCTGGCTGTTTGTTCTTGACTTTCCACAATTTCAAAGAAACTAGAAAAAGCCGACAACAACGACAACGTACCAGATTATTGTGCTGATATCTTCTGACAAGAGGACGTCCCTAACCGAAGCTAGGTACTCATTTTCACCTGTGCCTCACCTCACCAGTCCCATAGCTGTTACGTCACAGCCTGTGCCTAGTGCGGGAAAATATGTGTTTTTTAGGCACAGTAGAATTGCTGTTCTTGAGTGTACAACATCTGGTCCTGTTATGGAGTCCACATCTTGTCAATCGGCGGCGAAAGTAACCGTTGTCAAACCGTAACGAAGTAATCCACATGCCATCATCCAGTCACCAACCTTATGTTTCTTACATACATGTCCTCAAAACATGCCCTGACCACCCCTTAAACAAAGTCCAATCGGCTAATATCACGCTACGTCTGACGGAAACAAAGGCGACACCATTCCTGTACAGGGGAGTTTGTCGGCTCTGAAAACACGGCAAACAGTTACAGGTGTCAGGATCCTTTCAGGAACCATCTACGTCACTATTTACACGACGTCACGGTGTTTTGGGAGTGCAAACGACTCTTGTTGACCAAGGAGACCCTCCCCTCATTCTATGGGTTGATGTGAGGACCTCCCTTGTTTGTTAAACGCCATATCGCGTGTTTGTCTAATCCATTGACACGGCCTTACAGCCCGGGCTCGAGCGCTGAGGTCAGTCGCTACAGTTCGGAGCGTCAACAAGTCGTAAAGGGATCTGTCGACTGACAAGTGTGTGTTGAGAGTAGTGTTCTATCGTACAAGTGGTACTTTGTGCGTTTTTCGAGGGACTTTCTGCGCCAAGGGACTTTCTGTGCGTTTTTCGAGGGACTTTCTGTGCTGTTGGACTTTCTATGCCTTGCCACACAACTCGAGAAAGAATCCGTCTTTTGACAAGTGGATGTTGAGAGCAGTGTTCCACCATACGAGTGGTACTTTGTGCGTTTTCTGTGGGACTTTCTGAAGGAATATCGTCTCCAAGAGTGTGTACCACCATAGGAGTAACAGGGGGCACCCAAAACTCGTCAAAGGACCAAGCGTTTGGCAAGTGGATGTTGAGAACACTGTGCCACCATACGAGTGGTACTTTGTGCGTTTTCTGAGGGAATTTCTATCAGGATTTCTTTACCAAGAGGCGAGTGAACGTGTACGTTTGGATTTCTCACAGACCTTTCACCACTGGTTTCAAGTCAAGAATCGGTAAGATTCACAATCAACGAGGATAC